AGAAACACTGAATATATATATATATATATATATTTTTTTTATTTTTATTCATAGATATTTATATGGTATGGTAATTCCACTGGGGGAAAAAAACTCTAAACTAATTTTTAACGAATAATCAAAATGCACACACTTTGAATCAAAGAGGGATTTTTTAATAAAAAGCAGAACCAAAATGCATTTAAAAAGAGCTGACACTGAGAAAGCTTTTCCCTTTCCATTTTCCCCTTGAGAGCCTGACCAGCTGAAAGCTTGCAGCAAGCCGCATTCCTCGAAATAAAAAAAAAAAAGAAAAGAAAAGAGAAACAACAACAAAAAGTACATAGTCTCGAAAACAATATATAGAGAACAGTAAGATCTTAATGGACAGCGATGAGAGTGAGAAATTGTGAAGCTTCATTATTTCACTGCATGCATCTCTACTACAGCTCTCCCTGTCTGACCCTTTAACAATGACCTTGAAAAATGACGTCAGTTTAGATACGATAGGAAGAGTTTAATTTCAGATTAAATGAACATGGGTTACCAAGAGATAATCTGAATCATACCCTGTGCTCCCTTATAAACATTAGTACTGGTGGATCTGGATAGGGTTAATTATTATGGCACACTGACCTGATTGAAGAACGTTGCGCAAGATTAAAATTAGTGGCGGAAGGGTGCACTGGGACCAGATCAATGCTGCATTTCAACCAAAGTTTGACGTGGGATGTTTCTATCACTGGCTTCCAACCACAACCTTTTTTTTTTTTTTTTTGGAAAAAAGAAATTGAATTCCATTAAACAAATAAAATGATTTGCAAAGTTTACAATTATTTTATTATTTTTACGAAAAATTTGTTTAGACTTTTTAGTGACTTTTCACAGTTCTTTTTTTTTTTGGCCTTGTATATTAAATAAAATAAAAAATAAACAAAAAATGTGATATCTTTTATTTATTCATATTTATAAAATACTGACAAAACTCATGTAAAATGTGTTTTTAACTAGACATTGTCATGGACAGTAACTCTTAAGAGTCGGTTCTTTTTAGTGAATCAACTATGTATATGAGTGATGCTTTTGAATCAGTTATTTTTGGTGAATCAGAAACATACAGCGCAAGCAATAAAGTCTGATTCCTAAACACACGATGAACAATCGTCGTAACTATGCTGTTATAAATCTCTCTATAAGTTGCAATAAGCTGCATGTGTTTGATTCACCAAAATGAACAAAATCAAAAGAGTCATGTGTTTGAGTTGATTTATAAATCAAAGAATCAACTGAAAGGAGTCATTTATTCAGGAAACAATCTTCCCTGGTTGCACTGTATTTATTTTGATTCAACAAAAAGAATCTACTCTAAAGTGTCATTCATTCAGGTAACTGGATTTCCCTTGTTGTGCCGTATGTTTTTGATTCACCAAAAAGAATTGACTCAAAAGAGTCAATCATTCAGGAACCGGACTTCAGTGCACGCGTTGTATGTTTTTGATTGACCAAAAAGACTCAAAAGCATCTCTCATATTTGTTGTTGATTCACTAAAAAGATCCAACTCTTAAGAGTTACTCGCCATGCTCAGAACCTTTCAAACCAATGATGAAGAAATGCTTTCTGTTATTATTTTTGTATTTTAGTATGTATTTCCACATCTACGGAGAATGCGCATGCAAAAACCATTAACACAACCGAATGCCTTTTGGATCTGGTGCTTCAGTTGCATTCCCTTGCGCATTCAGAACTGAATGTAACACAGCATTTGATATGGAAATTCTAAAGTTGCTTATAGGCATACTGATTGGCCAATTAGTCTGTCAGTCAAAACAGGGCGGAGCTCTACACTACATAGCTGTAAACCTCTAACACAGCAAAAAGCAGATAAATGCATCATGGGGAATGTAGTCATGTGTAAAAAAGCACATAATGTCAAATCTACGAACCATAGTAATCATAAGAATAATGATAATAATAACAATAATAGCAATAATAACAACTTATAACAAGAGAATTTTAGAGAGTATAAAAGCAATTGTGTTAACACATGAAGAGCGAGCTTCGGTGGGTCTACCTGGGGTAGTTCTTGGGGTACCGTTGCCTGATAAGTGTGTAAACATTTGCAGGGGATGACAATCTTGGCTCAAATATGTAAACAGTGAACACTGCGATGCCTTTTACGACATCATTCTCCTGTGATGGAGCCACAGCAATACTGCAAGGAGGAAAAGTGTTAGGGGAGGGGGCTTGTGTGTGAAAAATAGCCTGTTAATTGCGTCTCGGGGGTTCATGTCAAACATGCAGGCCATGACAAACATGGCAGTGCACTGAGAAACATGCATCAACCAACAGTTTGGGGTTAAATCCCCATGAATTGCTCAGTTTTCCCGTAGTTTGCAGTGATGACGCCACTGCCATACTTCAGGACTTGATCATTGTATCCCAGCGGTCAACAAAACATGTTCTCAATCGTTTAACTTAGTGTTACATGAGGCCATACAATGCAACCTTGATCAGTATTGTATATCAGTATATAAACTCCCTAAAAAGATGGCGCGAGGCCATCGAAACCTTAGAAAGACGTTAGAAAAGAAAGACACTTGCTGAGGTCTTTTGAAGAATGCTGAGGGATAGATCTTGCGGTGGACTAACTTTAAACACACAGACGTACACGTCCTTGTCCATATTGTGTGACAGGATGACTGGAACAGTCAATGTACGCATTCTTCCATGCAACAGCCTTCATTCGGATATCCGGGTCATGGCACCAGAAAATGGCCTCCACCCCTTTAAGGGCCCCAGAGAAGCTTCAGAAGTGCAAAGGCAAGTAAATCTTTAATTTTGTTCTTCAGATCAGATGTAAACACGGAGAGTCCAGGGGTGGATGGAGAACCAAGGTCCACAAAATCACACACCTTTACGCTGCTTTGAGCTGATTGGTGGTTTTCTCCTTTCCTTCACCCCCCCTCTCTTGTCTGTGTTCTCCATCTGTCATCCATTGTTTTTTATGACTTACCAACCCTCTCAATCACCCTGCCCTCATCTGTCGGGAAGCTTGACGAATGCCTCCTCCTGCTGTTTTTCCTTTCAGTCACTTCTCTCGCCCTCTCTTTGCCTCTCCCCTCTCTCTCCGTGGCATTGATTTTTTGAATTATGGCCGGGTCCTAAGTCTCCTCTTCTCCAGTTGACACAACCAATCTTGCAGCCACTGAGAGGTGGTCAGTCAATCCAGCAAGTTGAGTGATGAAGCTGAACTCCTCTATATCCTTTAAGGGGTGATAGATTTTAGAAGTTTTTAATAACTATTAAAATAACAGCAAGAAATATATCATATAGAAATTCATACCTCATGGCACCAAAGGGTTAAGTAGGCCTAAGCGTAACTAAACATAATAGGTTATTTCTTGACTAGAATACTGTACAGTATTTATGCACCAATGAAGCTAGTAACGCTATTTCTTCACTATATAGTATACTATATATATATATATATATATATATATATTAGGGGTGTAACGGTTCACAAAATTCA